AAGTGGGAGCAGAAAGAAGAATGAATGGATTGAGCCCAACACACAAGATCCTGACCAGTTCAGGAGGAAGTGCAGTTTAGGCTGTTTTCCCACATATCCACTGCAGTCCACCTGGGCATCGCCATTCAGTGTCTGTGTTGACATCGTTCCAGGCCTGTCAGAGATGAGAGAAATTGGACAAGGGATGGGGGTTTGGTTCAGCATGGTTTGGTTAGGTTTTCTGAGTGGTTACATTATAGAATCTTTGGCCCAGGCATATCAGGTTTCCAACAGAAGTGTTAAGTTGTCCTCCCCATCGGACAAGACCGTTCTTTCCAATAATTGAGGTTTTGAGAAGCCAAATCCCAGTGGCCAGCTGGGGGTATCTTGTTGTATCACAGGGTTCATGGGGCTCCAACTCTGTAGCCTCCCAAGGCCATTGATCCCCCATACTAGTTCCCCCTACATGCATAGCAGGAAGTGGTTTTTAAAGACTGAGCTATAGTTTCTGCTAGTTCTAGAAACAGATTTCTGGTAGTAGTGGAGATGGGGGACACAGTTCTTTCCATTTCTTCATAGAAGAAGTGAAAAACTTGGTGGGATGAGGCTTTATGGGAGACTGTAATTCTTTTAAAGTATAATATAGTCCTCAGGTCTTTGCCCTACCCGTAGATATATGTGGCAATGTGCAAGTCATTCTTCCACTTAGGATCTTCTGAATCAACAAAGGTAAAATTACCAGGATTACAGGTCCCTCAGTGACACCTTGAGATAGTGACACCCTTTTGAAGGAGTGCTGTTTTATCTTTATTTTGCCAGGTGGCCCAGGAAACACATTTCCATTTGGGACAGGGTAGGGCACATTTGTAAGTCTCGGTATCTCACACATATACTTATCATCGAACCTGTACTCCTGTTCCCAAGATAGGCCTCCACAAGGACTGCGATAGCTGGTTTCCATTAGTGCTGTCTTACTGCACGCAGGTGAGGGTCGTCGGGTTCTAGGGCCCCACACACATCAAACTGTATTGACACGGGCTGTTTTGGATTGGGGATCTGGACCCTTTGAATTCTGCAGCTCTTCTTGTGGCGGCTCCTAACTTCTAGCCATTCAATGGAGAGTATTGTGGTCCAAACAGGTATTTTGGCCCTCTTGCAGGCAAATAGAATAGGTGGTTTTGTTGTGCCTGCAGGTCTCTGAGACTGTTCCTTGGCAGGAGAAATTAGAGTGATAAAGTGGGGCCCAAGTGACCCCCTGATCCGATTGAGTTATAAGAATGCATGGGTCACAGGATGAGGGGCTCTGGGGCCACAAAGGGAGACCACATCAGTAACAATAAACAGTAATTATGCATCTTGCCCAAAAGAGGTAGAAGAGAGCTAATAAAAACTTCACTGTGAGTCCAGTCAGTGGGGGCTGTTTCTGCCAAACCTATGGCAAAGATTAGGGTGAGAACTACAGCAACAGATTCAGACAAGGAGTGACAATGTATTATAGTAAAATAACTGACATAGAAAACAGTTTGTCTATCCCATTAGACAGCTGATTCCTCACGCTTCTGCCATACGTAGACTAATCAGCTTCCCGAGTGACTGGAATAAGGTTGTCATCTCATTGTTTGTGGTCCCCTGTTGTTTCCCAGGAAGAGGAGTCCTGCCAAGGAAGGACACTGACATTCCAGAGGGTGATCTTACACAGTGAAGCCAGATTGAGGATGCACTTCCACTCAAGAGAAGCTGGCTTGACTCAGCTGTAATGGATCCAAGGAGCTATCTCTGCTACTTTAACTGCAGTAGGGGTAGAAAAAATAACAACAAAACAGCATCTCCAATGACGCTTTAATGGTTGGACATTTCATTCCTTTACCCAGATGGCATCCCCTGGCCTGTAAGGATGCGTGGGAGTTGTCAGGCTGACAGGAAGTCTCTGCCAGGCCCAGTTATTGATCTTTAAGAGAATCAACCTGAGGGCCTGCATCTGCTGCCTCAAGGTGAGGTCACCTATTTCCTTAAGGTCCTTATGCCCTTGATTAAGAGGGATGGGCATCTATAAAGAACTTCAGAGGGTGAGAGCCCTGTCTGCTTCGTAAGACTAGACCTAATCCTTAGTAATGCCATGGCAGTAATTGATCCCTCTGCAGATGGGTTTCCTGACACAGTTTCCCTAACTGTAATTTTAAGGTTCTATTCATGTGCTCTACTTTTCCTGAACTCTGGGGGCAACTTCCAGGTGATTCCTAAGCCCTTAGCCATTAACAATACCACCTCTGTCACAAGAGCTGACCCTTTATCTGACCCAATAGACACCCAATAGACACAAGTATTCCAAACCAAGGGATGATTTCCTTTCACAGACATCTGGCCACCTCCCAGGCCTTTTCAGTCCATGTGGGGAAGGCTTCCACCTATCCTGAGAAGGTACAGACAAACACCAACAGATATTTGCATCCTCAAGCTCATGGCATTTCAGTGAAGTCCACCATCAAGTTTTCAAGAGTTCTACCAACACCCTGCTCCTGGGGGGCTGCTCTTGGCCCTTGTCTGGGGTTATTTTTGGCACATAGGCTACATCTCTCACATATTGCCTTACTTATGCTGGAGAGCTTGTTGATATAAAAATGCTGAGCCAGGGTGTCTCAAAGGGCTATTTGCCCTGAATGAGTTCCTTCTTGGAACTGCTTGGCAAATGTAGGGGCCAGTGACTCAGGTATGGCAATGCAGCTATCAGCAAACTTCCACCAACCATTTGGTAGAACATTTCCTTCCTCAGTCTTAAACCAAGCCTGTTCTTGTGGTGTGTACTGTGGGTTCCATTCAGCTAAGGGGCCTGGGAACAAGGCGGCCGTCAGAATGGCTGGGGCTGGTCCCCTCGTGAGGGCCATTTGTTTGGCCTCCTTGTCAGCTTTCCAGTTTCCCCAGGCAATTTCTGTTTCTCCCTTCTGGTGCCCTTGGCAGTGTATAAATGCCACCTGTTTAGGGGCCCACACAATGTCTAGCAGTTCAAGGATTTCCTGCCCATACTTGATACTTTTTCAAGTATCAAGTATCAGAGGACACTCATTAACTCCCAAGTTAGAGTCCCCTCTCTTTATAAAAGGCTCCATGGACATGAATGGTTGTGAAGGCATATTTACAGTCAGTATAAATGTTTACTCATACTGCAGTGACTTGGAGTGCCTGCAAGAGGGCAACAAGTTCAGCCTTTTGTACAGAAGTCCCAACTGGCAGTGAGTGAGCATCAATAACTGAGTCCAAAGTCACCACTTCATAACCGGCAAAGCATGTGCCATCCCGGACAAAGCTGCTGCTATCTGTGAAATAGTCAATGTCCAGATTGCTGATAGGCTGATCAGTCAGATCTGGCCAGCTCAAGAAAACCTCATCCATAACCTCTAAGCAGTCATGCTCCAGGGGTCCCAAGTCAATCAGCAATAGAGTGGCCAGGTTTAGCAATAGAGTGGTACAACCTCCAGCCAGATGTGTGGGTTTTCACATAGCATACTCTGGTATTTGACCATCCAAGAGTTAGTCAGCCAATAATTTTCCTTATACTCCATGAATGTCAGAGTGGAGTGGGGAACCCAGACAGTGAGTTCTTACCCTAGGGTGAGTTTGTCTGCTTCTGTCACCAGGGCAGCAGTGGCTGCTAGGGCACACAAACAAGGCAGCCAGGCTCAGGAAATGGCATCAAGTTGTTTTGACAAGTAAGCCACCAGACGGTGCCAGGAGCCCAGTAACTGAATCAGGACCCCAATAGCTGTTGGCTCATGGACATACAGGGAAAAGGGCTTCATCACATCTGGCAGGCCTAGAGCAGGGGTCTTTGTGAGTGCCTTCTGCTCACAAATGCCCCTTCTTGCTCCCTTCCCCAAACTAAAGGCTCCCATTCTCCCCACTTTGTGGCTTCATAGAGGGGTTTGGCCAAGAGGGAGTAGTTAGGGATCCAGATTTGGCAGAAACTTGCAACTCCCAAAAACTCTAATTTGCCAACAGGTCTTAGGGGCTGGGATGGAACATACAGCCTGTTTCCTCTCAGGGCCAAGCCTGCTTTGCCCCTGGGACAGGTGAAAGTCAAGGTATTTGACAGTGTTTTGGCAAATCTGTATCCTGCCTCCCATAAAAGAGAAAGGAAAAGGTTGTGTCCCTTCCATACAGTCCTCCCAAGTTGGTCCAGCCAGAAGGAAGCCATCTACACACTGGAGGAGTGTGCAGCCATGCTAGTCAGCTGAGAAGGCTTTTAGGTGGAATGCCAAGGCAGTTCCAAAAATAGCAGGCAAGTTTCTGAAATCTTGTGGCAACTGAGTCTAGGTTAGTTGCTCCTTTTCCCCAATGTTGGGATTTTCCCATTGGCAGGCAAAAATAGGCTGGCTCTGTGGGACCAGGCAGATGCAAAAGAATGTGTCTTTAAGATCTGAGCAGGTAAAAACCTTTGCCTCAGCTAAGACAAAGTCTAAAAGTGTGCATGGACTTGAGACTATGAGGTGCAAAGTGGCAGTTGCTGAATTTACTGCCTGGATGTCCTGAACTGATCTGAAATCCTCAGTTCCTGGTTTTTGGACTGGTAATAAGGGGGTGACTGACAAGGTTGGAGGATCCCATATTTTAAGAGCCTGTCAAAGTGTTTTTGAATTCCGACCTGGGCCTTGAAAGGAATGAAGTACTGTTTCTGGCTGACAGGGATGACTCCTGGCTTTAGTTCCACCACTACTGGGGCACATTTTGGGCCAGATTTGGGGGGTTATCATCAACCCATACACCTGGAATCTTGAAGGGAAGCTCAGGAATCTCAAGAGGCCTCCCTTCTGGGGCATAGAGCCACCATTCCTCTTCTTGTGCAACCATGAGGATTAGAGTCTTTGTCTCAGGTCCTCTCAGTGTGGCTGGAGGGCGCTTTGCCTCTTGCTTGGTCAGTTGAAGCTGTACCAGGAACACAGAACACAGCAATGGTATTGTATTTTTTATTAAAAAATTAAATAAAATAGTAATCTGTTATATACAAAAACTGTACTGGTGTCCAGAGTTCATGGTGGGGAAGGCTCAGAAGATGGAGCCAAGGAGGTGGCTGTTACGTTTTCTTTCTCTTCATATCTAGGGGGCAAGTCCAATGTAGGATGTGGAGGGTGTGAGATCTCAGAGGGTGCATTAGTCCCAGAGATGGTGTAGATGAATTCCCGCTCTCTTTCAGAGGTCGCGTCCTGTCCCTCAGGAGTGGGGGTCCTGCTGAAAAGAAGAGAGATCATGAAGGGAGAGAATGAAAGCAGCCTACCTCTTAAGTACTGGCTTCCTTCAAATGCTTAATGGCATGCACTTAGGAGTATGTGCAAGGGTCTAAGGAGTAATTTCTCCCACACTGCACTTTTTATAGATCTGCTTTGAATCCTTACCCCTTACTTTTCTTAAAGTTGAATTTAACAGAAAAATGGTCTCACTCCTCTTATCACTCCCCTTGCCACTGAAAAGCCACTGAGTGCAAAGGTACAGATGCTATCCCAAGGCACAGACATGTGTGAATGCATGCACACACACACACACACACACACACAGATACATACACACACAAAGTCACTGTCCTCTGCTATTTTTGTCTTCTGGGCCAGTTAATATAAAGTGGACATTAAGCTAAACATTTGATGTGAGGCAGGCAGGCACACTGGCCCCAATGTAGACAAGCCTATGTCTGAATTCCACTTCACTGCTCCCCAGCTAGGCAACCTTGGATCATTATTTAGCTTTTGAAACCTCAGTTTCCTATCTGAAAAATGGGGGTGATAACTGCCTTCCTTCCAAGTGGTTGTGAGAAAGACCAGATTTCTATGCTGGGGCATAGAAACCCCAGCAGCACAGGCAGAGCTGGTTTATTTTAAGCCCTAGACACTGATTTTGGAGTTTGAGGAAGTTTGCCATTGAAGAGAAAAAATGCAAAATTAATTGTTAGAACTCTCCAAATTTTCAGCCCTAACCTGCCCTTGCTCCACACAGGGTGACACCTGCATTTGCCTCCCGAGTCCCTAGCTCACTACCACCCAAGTGAAAAGCTCAAAAACCTCCATCCTGTGGCCACCTCTTTCCTTGTTCATCAGATAACCTGTCCCCTACTTTTATAGGGGAAAGGGTCTCCACACAATGTCACCCTCTCCAGGACCTCGAGGAAGGCTATGTCCACTGCCTCTCTCTGGGGCTCATGCACCCCACCTGCTCTATCTGGATGGTGGCTGTCAGGTGGCTCCTGACTTTGCAGGGTGCACCCTCCAGTGGAGGAGGTGGACCACAAGCTTAGACATGAATTGCAAGGCAGGGCAGCACCCATCCCCAGTCAAGGTCACCAGGTCCCTGGGGCCTTGATTTCCCTGCTCTCAAAAATAAACACATCTCCTTGTCTGGAAAGAGACCTCACTCCCACTTTGCTCTGGGCTGCTTCCCAACAACTCTTTCTTTCCTCTCTACTCCCTGGTTTCCCCTTCCAGAAGGTATGGCCAGTGTCCATTTCTCACTCCCTGAGCACCGCATAGCTGGGGGCTGCACAAAGCTAGCCCTACCCAGCTCTCCCCAGAACTCCTGCTTGGACACCTTCCCCTCTGATGGGGTGAACTCGGGTCTTTGATTCCTCCTTCCTGGTTTCAGCAACCTCTTCACAGTTCCATCTCTAGCACCTTCTCTCCCCCCAGACCCAGCCCTGTCCAGTCTACCTCAAAGGTCCACACTCACTGACCCTCACTACTGGTTGGCCCAGCATCTTCTTATCTAGCCCAAGCTGGCCTCTACTTCCTCCTCAGTCAGAGGCCTCTCCATTGTCCCAGTCATTCACCCTGGAGGTCATCATCCCCCTCTACCCAGCCTGCTCAATATGGCTCCAGGATCCTACTGCCCCAGACCTGTCCCCTTAAGAGTCAGCCTCAGCCTTGCTGCCTTCCGTGTACAGTGGAGTGTGGACCCCACATCACTCTTCAGTCACTTTGAAGCCCAGAGGCTCTGAGGCCCAGAAGCAGCGGATCATGGAGGGAGGGCCCAACTAGGCCAGGTTAGGTATAGGCTGCTTTTATCCAGTCACTCAAGCATCTCTGTTGAAATGCTGAAACCCTGTGTTGGCGATCTCCTGGGGTCCTGAACCTCCCCACAATCTGAAGCAGTGACATCTAACAGGGAGGGTCCTCCCACATCCTGTGGCAGCCCTCAGTATGGCTCAGTGTGACAGATGACAGCTAGACATTTTGAGGGCTACTTGCTAGGATTACATACAGATGCCTGGGGAGGGCTTCATAGTAAACCTGTCACCACTTTTAACTTAGGAGCTGTCCAGTGTTTCCTGAAATGTGCCACTGATGTTTGTTCTTGTGCCACAGCCCAGGCTGTTCAATTCAGGCCTAGGTGTAGACTGGTTACATATGGGAAGTCTTACCCATAGCTATAAAGACTGTAATATGAAGGTGGGCTTTCAGACGGAAGCGAGCTGTTAGCTCCAGGACTTCGAGTTCCTGCAGGAGCTGAAGACTCAGCAAAGTACGGTGGTGGAGGAGGTGGGAATACTATCACCGAGTCACCTGGGGAAACACAATATTGGATTGAAAGCAAGTTAGCATGAGCAAAATAACCTGGTTCTAGATCTGGCCCCTCCATGTACAATAAAAGGTCAGAACACTTGCTGCTTACTCCAGAAGTAAAAAGTAGGTGAATATATTAACACTTGAGTGTTCTGAGTTATGTCTGTAATTCCAGCTCCTGAGAGGCAGAGATAGGAAGATCACAATCTGAGGCTAGCCTGGGCAAAAGCAAAGGCTGGAAAACAAACTAAAAAAAGCAAAAGGACTGGGGTATGGCTCAAAGGGTAGAACTATCAGCTAGCAATCATAAGACCCTGAGTTCAATCCCCAGCACCATAAAGAAAAAAGGACTATTAATTTATATATGAAGTAGAATAGGTTACCAGAGGCTGGGAAGAGGAATTGTTTCATGGGTAGGTTTTGTTTGGGATGATAAAAGAAGTTCTGGAAATTGATAGTGCTGATGGCAGTTCAATACCTGGAAAATGGTTAAGCCACTGAAGAATGCATTTATAAGTGGTTAAAATAGTAAGCTTTAGGTTACATATATTTTATCATAATTTTTTAAGTGGCTCTGAAGCAGGACACCAGTGACTCACATCTGTAATTCTGGCTACTTAGGAGATGGAGATCAGGAGGATTGAAGTTTCAGACCAGCCTGGGTAAAAAAGTTTGTGAAATCCATGCCAACAGAAAAACAGCTGGACATGGTACACACCTTTTATCCTAGCTACAGAAGGAAGCTTAAAGTAAGAGGATCTCAGTTCAGGCTGGCCTGGGCAAAAATAATCAGAGCAAAAAGAGCTGGAGGTGTGGCTCAAGCGGGAAGAGCATCTGCATAGCAAGCACACAACCCCAAGTGCAAACCCCACTACCACCAGTGGGCCTATATTTCAGAGCCCAGAATGCTCGCCATATGGATAGGACCTATTTTCACAGCAAGTCTGAGCTAAAGTATTTCTGCGAGTATTCGTGAACAAGCCCCCTCACCTTGCAGGGGATTTCTATTGCTGATCAAGCTTTTCTGATTTCAACTGACAATTTTAACTCATCAAAAGTCAGCTCTTGGGAAAGGTGCCAAGTTCCTCAAATGTGGTTTCAGCCTCTGAATACATGAAATAAGCCATGCTCTGCCTGTGGCTGAATCCACCAAAATTTTACCCGAGCTGCATGGATAAAGGTCAAACTCAAAGAAAAGTTTGGCTTTTGCATTTTGGATGCTACTGTTTGCTCTAGAATATATCCTTGTGTTTTGAAGAATAGAAAGTAGAGACCAGATACATGCTCTAATTTGTATCCCAGTTCCTTGGAATTCCAGTGAGACAGTCAATATTAGTTTTGTGTGGGGGTGGGGGTGGGACCCAGGGCTTTGGGCATGCTAGGCGAGCACTCTACAATTGAGCTACATCCCCAGCCCTACCTTGGAATGCCAATCCATTGCTCCACGGGAATTACCCAGAACATTCTAGACAGATGAGAGGACCACCATCAGAGATCCCAAGGAAGGCCTCTGATAAGACAGCAATACCAACTGATAGTGTAGGAAAAATGAAAGCGGATTGAGAACTTTACTTCCTGGGCAAGAGGAGCCTGCCTTGCACTTCTATAGGATTTTTAAAGACAATTGCCAGTGACCAACCCAAACAGGCCCTGAACAAACTCTGACCTCCTTGGGCCAGAGCTGTACACTGCAGCCAAACAGCACCTGCCTCTGAGGACAGACAGAAGGGCTGGACGAGAGCACTTGTGTGCAGTGGTTAAACAGTGCTGCACACAGAGCAAACAGGGCTCCAACACCCAGCCAGACAAGAACACCATATGCCTGGTGAAGAAACTCTTCCAACTGGCAGTTAACCTGATGCCTGCAGTCACTTCCCAGAGCTGACTTAGCCTTCCTGGAAATACATTATCCCTACCTCTCCCCTGCAGGGGGATGGCAATTGGGGCTTAAAGTGTGTCTCACTGATCTCAGCTTAAAGGACTCTCCTGGGATGATCATTTAATTCTTAGAAGGTTTTGGTGTGTCAGAAGAATTGGGTCAGGTGCTCACTTCAATTATACCCTGTAGAAGAAAGGACCAAGAGGAACAAGCCTCCAGGGCAGGCCATATGTGTCAAAAACAAACCCGGAAATGCCCCCAGAACCCTGTTATCTCCAAGGGCATCCATCCCTCCCCCCAGCCAGCCCTACTGCCCACACCTTATAACCTGCTATCCCTGGAAAGAGGCCTCGTCCCAGGGTTTCTCTTTCACTACGCCCTTCAGAACCTGATGTCCTCTGGGAGGTGACAGCACACACCCATGAGAGAGGCAGGGCTATGACTTACATCCAGGATCTGGCATGAAGTGAGTCCACAATGGGTAGAACATCTACACACACAGCCCCTTCCTCCCTGACCCCCCACCACCACTGAGGAGAGAAGCAAGAGGAAAGAGTCCAGGGCTTCAGAGGCTCCAGGAGACATCAAGCGTAATGGGGAAAGTGGATTTTACACTACACAGTGCTAACTTCAGGACAAGGATGAACACCCGGGAGGGGTACTGCTCAATTCCAGGCTCCAGGTGGGAGGCTGAGCCTGGAAACTCCCCTGCTAGCAGACCTGAAGAGCTGGCCTCGTGTTCTCCATCAAGGGAGCCTGCATTTACTTGTATCCCACTACGTTCCCTAGAAGGGCTGAGGACATCTATGACATTGGGAGAGCCCCTTTCTCACATAATTACTACTTAGACCCTTTGGTGAAGGGTGAGATGTAATTATACCCAAGTGCCCTGGAGAGAGGGCAGGGCGAGGGCTGGACTGTATACAGCCCACCCACCTGGGTCTGGACGCTGCTCTGCCTCTCACTCCTTTGTGACCTTGGGCAAGTTATTTGATATTCCTGTACCTCCAGGTCTCATGTGGAGATAATAATTCTGCCTCGATGGGTTGCTGTAGGCGTGTCTGGATTTGGTACAGTGGGCCTTTTAAGATTCTATGTTACAACATCTAGATGGGTGTTTGGCACAGAATAGACCCTCTACAAGTTGTAGCTATTATTAATATGTGATTAATATCTGTGTTGTTGCTGTAGATGTATAATGCACAAATAAGTGAACTGGGAGTATCCATTCTGGCTCAACACAGAAGTGTCTGCAAAGCCATCCGCCTTCTGCCTCCAGGGCTACTGCCTCACAAGGCCAGCAACCCAGTGGGTTCTTTCCTTCCATCTGTAGTCAGTAAAGACTGCAGGTCCTGGCAGGCCCCAAACATGAGAGGTACCTCACTCGTCACACCCCTCCTGTGTACCCTCTGAGGTCCTCTCTACCTTGCCCTTCCTAGGCCATGACTCTGTGTGCCTTCAGAGCCTCAGTTTTTCAAAAGCAGGAGACTGAAAATAAAGGTGGGAGGTGGAAGGTGCAAAAGAGCAACGATGGAGTTTTTCCCTGGTTGTGTGAAGTTGAGTTCAAAGCTACTGATGCTGCTCTGAACTGGCAGGGACAGGATGGGAGAGGTTATACGATGTGGGCTGACTCTAGGAAATGGTAACCCACCTCTCCTGTAGAGCCCAGGGGATCCAGGAGGAATTTCTAGGCATCACAAGGGAGAAAGAAGTGCTACCATGTTTCATCTGGGTCTGTGTTCTTGTAGCCAAGGATGAAGTTACAGAAAGTGATGAACAAGGCAGAAAACAGTGCACAGCCCCGCTGCGACAGGCTTGGACTCCTAGAATGTCAGTCATTGCATTAGAAATGCAATGGTCATGTTATACATGAGGCAGGAGGGGTGAAGGGCTTATCACCAACAGCCTGCCACAACCACCAGGGAGGAGAACCCAGTGTCCCCTCCACAACTGGGCTGTGCAGTTTCAGTTCAAGACTAACAGGAAGTGGGACTCCCTGAGTGGGACCCTAGGGTGAGGGAGGGCTCCAAGGCTGTCCTCAAGGTTCTTTTCACATTTCTCTTCATTTGCTCTGGCTTCATTTAAGGTCACTACTGCAGGCTCCAATGCCTGTGCTACAGAATTGAGTTGCTGGGGGCAAGTGACATTGGCCAGGATTCCTATAGGGCTTGCTTAACCCTGTAGCAGTGCTGTGTGCATATGTGTGCGCACATGCATGCATGTGTGTGCAGGGGAGAGGGGGAGAGAGAGAGAGAGAGAGAGAGAGAGAGAGCAAATCTAGAGCAGCCTAGTGAAGCCTGGAAGCCACAATCATTGTCCCGTGAACAAGTGCATGAATGATAGCCACTCACCTACAGTGACCTGGACAGGATCCATACTGTGGGTGTGTCCCTCTTCAGTGGCCTCATGGTGCGCACTCAAGTTGTTTTTCTTCTTAACGTGGGCGACCACGAAGAAACACAAACCCACCAGCACAATCAAGGGCCCCATGATCTGCAGAGAAAGGAACCCACAGATCTGGGGCTCCGGGTCTATAGTGTCCGTCTCATTCAGCAGCTCCTGCGCCCAGTCTGAGCTACATCCGGGGACCCAGATGCCCAGAATGCTGATAAGCATGCCGCTGGTCAAGAACAAAAACCCGAAAATGAGGCACTGGGCAAACTGGCGGCTCTCTCCACAGACAAAGTCCTGGTCACTGTCTGTGTGGCTGCTGCCACGTTGCTGTCTCTCCCGGAGCTGAAGTCGTGCACGGGATCGAGCCAGGATCACAGCCCCAAGCCCAACCACGGCACATGAAGGCCCAGCGACTTTCAACACCAGGCTGCAGTCTGGGAGGGGTTTGTACCTCCCAGACTGGTACCCAAAGATGGAGAGCAGGACTCCCACACACAGCAGGACAGCACCGAAGACAAAGAGGAAGAAGATGAGCTTGCTGACATGCCTGTCACGCCGGTCCTCATCTGGCTCAGCAGTTGCTATTGAAGACATGACCAGAAAAGTCCCCTTCCTTGCCTGAGGTGAGGGGGGATGTGTTTCCTTCCCTCTGAGGGTTTCAGAGCTCTGAAACATTAACAAATTATCAAATTAAAATGGGCCCGGTTGTTGATGACCAGCCTTCAGAAATCACTAGAGGATGAAATCACAGGAGGGAGAACTTCAGACAACCGATCCACTGCAGAACAACGAGCTGGTTATGAGTCGAAAGAGCTGGCATTCAGAAACTCCTCAGTGTGTAATTTCATTAAGACATTCAAAAAGAAAGAATTCAATTACCATGCATCTGAGGTAAGCATACCTTTTTTAAAAAGAAAATAACCGGGTGTGGCTTTTCCTGTTTGGAGTTTTACAAACTCACTTCCCCAGGCAAAATACAATGGCGAATGAGGGGAGAAACAGGGATACCCAGTATTTCAACACAGCTGCCCTGAGCATTTCCACATTGGTAACTTTTTGCTCTATAACTAACTTCCCACTTCCTGTTATAGACTTTGGCAACTTTACATACCATCTTGTTCTTAGGAGACAGCTACAGAAAGGCAGTTCAGGAAGACAGTAGGCTTGAGGACCTTTAAGTTAACTGCATTAAAATGTTGCTCCTTGGTTCTCAAATGGGGCTGCTTTGACAGCACACCCAGCCTGTTGTCGGGCCCTGGTATGGTATGAAATCGGCACAGTAAGTCAAGTACAGCCCTGTCTCCAAGGTAACCAGTTCTCAGCAGATGGACAGGACCTAAGGCGGGTGACTCTCACCCTTCTCTACAGTGCAACCCACTTCACAAAGAGACTTAGACTCAGTGAAAAGTAAGTAGCTAATAAAATTACCCATACAAAACTCTAAAGGTCAACAGAACTTGACTTTGAAAGAATATAAGTGGAAGCAAGTGGAAGGGCACCTTCTACACACTATCACCCCACCCTTCAAGCTTATTAGCTACACTACCTTCACCAAGCAGTTGCTCGAGTTGTGTAACTTATGCAGCGCTGACTCTCCATCCAGTTATCTTGCCTTACTCCAATCAATGGGAGTGAGGACCTTTATTCAGGATACTTGCAAACACAATCCAAAGCCATGACGAACGTTTTCCTAGGTTTGTACTCAAGGCCTTAAGAGCACTAGGCAAGTGTCCTACCATGTGAGCCATGCCCCGCCCCCCCCCCCCCCCCCCCGCCATTTTAGCCTTTGTAAGTTATTTTTCAGATAGTGTCTTTATTTTTAAGTACAATTCACTTAGTTTATGTGTTCATATTTATCTCATATAGTCATTGAGATACTAAGAAAAACAAATGAAATATTTTTACAAGGAATCAAAAGATATAAATAAGCTAGAACAGAAATCTTGAAAGTACATGGAATCATTTATACTCTTGTGCATATTTGAAATTTTCACAGTAAAACCTAAAATGAAGAACCCTAATACAGAAAATAAAATTTAACTTCCAGTTAACTAGAAATGATATTAGTGTACTTTCTTGAGCTGCATTACCTATTCTTAAACAGGTGAATGATTCAGCATATACTTAATTTTATCAGATAGGGTCTTGTGAAAGCCCAGACAGCCCCAAACAGAGATCCTCTTACCTCTGCCTCCTCAGTAGCTGTATTACAAGTGTGCCACCATCCCCAGCTTGTTGGTTGAGATGAGGTCTTGATAACTTCTTGCCTGGGCTGGCCTTGACCCTTGATCCTCCCTATCTCCGCCTCCTGAGTAGCTGGTACAGGTGTGAGCCACCACCCCTGGAAGAAGCCATAAACAACATTTTCATTTGCCCAACTGGAAAAAAAAAAAAAAAACTTTAAAAACATCTTGTGCCACTCACATCCATGGTCACAAGACTGAGGTTCTAAGGTCAAGACCATTTTGACAAACCAAAATCATGTGGAAGAAAGGTCAGTGTAGGTAAAGAAAGCAAACAGCTGATTAATGTACTAGGAAGTACTTTTTCAGGAAAAAGTATGATACAATCAGAAGGAAGTGGAGAAAAAGGAAATAGAGGACAGAAATAAGCTTTGATCTCAAACTTGGAGAAACCACATTCTATGAAGATGCCTTTAAGCTGAAAAACAGAGCTCAAAGAAAGCATCGCACTAATTTCAAAACTTTTTTTCTGAATCGAATTGTCTCTTTTACTAATCCTTCGCTACAAAGTCCAGTCAGGAATTTACTGCATTTCTGGTCTCTTCAGCTTTGCAGTGAGTCACAGGCTTCAACAGTCTTAAGGCAAATTTCCAAACTCCAACAAAATAAATAGACGAAGCCCAAAGCAGGATTTGTAGCTTCTTTTCCCGAGGCAAGTGGAATGAACATCTGAACAACTGGCACACCTGTTAATCCCTGACCCAAAGTGACCTATGGGTCTCCTCAGCGCCCCCACCTCTGCTTGTGAGTGCATCGATGCACTCACGGACACACAGAAACATCGAGATTAACAGAAAAATAAGCCATTTGGAAAGGTCACCCTAAAATAAATCCTAAACCCCAAAGCCAAATTCGCCTCCCCAACACTCCTATCGATTTTGCAAAAGACGTTCCCAAATCAAGCGTCTCTCCACGTCCAAAGCGCTGATGACTTAGCGGGGCAAATGCCTTCTGCAGAAATGGCTTTGGGGGCTTTAGGGTAGCCCGAGCGCTGCCGGCAGTGGCGAGTGGCAGGGCGTGTGGTTCCCGGGGCGCAGGTCGCAGGGCGCCGCTTACCTGGGCTGGGTCCCGCGTGCGCCCTGTGGGCCGCGCTGCTGTGCCAGGGTCGCCTCGCTCGCAGCCTCGGCGGTGGCCGGCGCCCAACTCGTGTCCCCCAACGGAGGCGAGCCGCGTCCGGGTGGGGAGCAGGGGGCGGCGCCGGACTGGCGGGGGCGGCGACCCGGGCTGGACAGGGTAGGGCAGAGCAGGGCAGGGCCGACCGGCAGGAGCTGGCCGCCACCGGGTGTCGCCCTTGGGGGCCCCGCGCGGGAGTAGAGAGCCAGGGGCGCCTGCGAAGATCCGGGCGGACGGACCGACGGACTTGGCCGCTTCCGCGCCCGTGACCGTGACCGCGAGGAATTCGGGAAAAATGGGCGCGCTCAACGCCTCCGGCTCGCACACCAGGCTGGGGGCGCCGGCGAGTTGAGACTGTCCCTCGGCTGCGGGGCGGGCGGCGGGAAGGGAAGCCGGTCCCCGTCAGGTCTGGGGCGCAGAGCTCCAGGGGGCCGCGACAGGGGCGAGGGAGGGAGAGCAGGACCAAAAGTGGCGGCCCCCCTCCAAGACCTTGGCTGGGGTCACCCGAACAGGAGGTTCGCTACGTGCTCCCTACGGCAGGATATGGAGACACCAGGACCCAGAGAATGGGACAGGGGTCCTCGCTCCCGAGCCATTCAGGCCTGAGGTCCTAGCTCTGAGACTCTAGAGGACCCTTGGCAAGCTTTGTGCCTGGTCGCCTCGGTCCCCTGGGCATTCACACGTAGGCACACTGCCTTCCTTTGACATAGAGGCCTCTTCCTGGTGCACGACCGCTAAGGCGCTGCGGTAACTTTCCCTGCCCTTGAGCGCGAGTTTCGGGTGCGTTCGCTAATCCCCGTGCTGTTTGTAACCTGCCCCGTGACACTTGACACATATCCAAGTGTGCAAGTTTCCACATTAGAGGTCAGGGCGCTGAGAAAGGTGAGTCAAGGGCCCTGCGCTCAATCACCCGGGCACCTGAACTTGGGGACTTCTCACCCTTGCCTTTTCTCCCCAACTTCCTGGCCACCTCCTTGAAATCAGGTCCTTGGATTGACCTTTTTTATCACCTTGTGGAGAAAGCAAGTTATTCGCAGTCCTCACTGAAAGTGAAGTGTGAGTTCCTAATTTAGCTAATTACTAGAGAGAGGAAGAGACTGAGGGAGGCAAAGAGGGCAGTGGTTACCTGGGCTTTGGGGTGGCAGGAGTGGAATGGGGGGTTCAGAAGGCAGGCTCATTAGACAAATTCCAGCCATGGGAACGGGGAAGAGAGCGCTTACCTGCAGGGCAAAGTGCTCAGTGCAGCTGGTGGGCTTTACCTGCAGCCTGTGCTTGCTACTCGGTGTCTCCAGCAGCTCAGAGAAAGTTGGAGCCAGAAGGCAACTGAGATCTAGAAAACGAGTCATTTTTCAGTTGAGAAACCCAGGCCCAGTGAAGTAAAGTGACTTCTGAAGTTGGTTGATGTGGACCCAGAGCCTGAGCCAGGTGTCCTGACTGCTCGGTGTTCCTTCCTAAGATCACCCAAGGACACGTGATGCTGTGTAATAAAAGAAGAAAATGCTTTTCATTACATAGTCCTGTGATGCCAGGTGTGGGATCTGGGCAGACCACTGCACTAGCACAGTCACCATATTGTAACAGGCAGTCAGGTCTAGGGTGGAGAGACCCTAGTCAGTGTGTAGATCGACCACTTTCTAGAAGGGCACTACAGTGTGCCCAGCACATAACCAACAGTGGTGATTGCCCAACACCCTTGGGCACTGGGCTTTCTAAGAATTCAGTTCCTCAATGTCCCCTCTGACACAAGCCAGCCAACTATTCTTCACAGTACAAGAGGGTCTCCTTGTCCTTTCCCTCCTCATTTATCCCTTCTCACTTATTTGAAAGTCCACCTCTGATGTGTCTTATGGACCTGCAAGGGGCCTGTTGACACAGCTGCCCCTCTGGTGCCACATGACTGAGGGCTTGCCACCCATGACAGGCTTGAATGTCCTGGCAGCAAGGACAATCAGATTAGCCTCCCCCTTGGTATATTTGCTGCTTGGACTGTTTGTGTCTTTTGGAGCCTGTTTGACTAAATTAAACCCCTTGGAAACTGATCATCAGTCAAGTATGAAAGGCATACCCCTGGACGTCAAGGTGCTGGTACCGGAGCAGATTTAGTCTTAGCAAAGAGACTAATCCCCTTGTCACTGTCCAAAAGGCCAAGTGGTCTTTCCCAGCCTGTGGGGCAGTAAATAAAGATAAGCCCTAGAGTGAATCCTTAGAAAATCAGCACCAGAACAAGATTTGACAACT